ACAGTGTGTGAAACGATCAAGGAGGAACGGATGCTGGAAGAGCTTTCTAATCCAAGGCTTGACTCAACCCACAGCTTTCCAGGCTGGAGCAGCCCCGATCCACCAGCACATCCCTTGGGAGCAGCCGGAGCAGACCTCCTGCTGGCCAGGGCCTGGCTGCTGAGGTTCCCAAGGACCCACACTTCCCACTGCCAAGTGTGTGACATGTTTTTTGATGGTGCCTTGCTGAGAGCAAGCAGATTGCAAAGCCCGTGTTCAGCTCTCTTCAATAGCATTGCAGTAAAGCGATACCTGCAGCTGCCGTGCTGATTGCTTTTCTGTACAGAAAAGAAAACACATTTAGGACAATGCATTAAACCTCTTAAGGACTTAGAAGGTCTATTTTGCAGTTGGAAGCAGCAAGATGTGAGGATGTTTGCTGTCAATGTGAGAGCAGTGCCATCGCATCTCCTGTCCTGCTCCCAGCCCTGCCTATCTCTGCAGCTATCTGTCAAGGCAGAGCAGTGTGGAAGGGGTTAATCTGGAGAGGAGAAAGTTTCTGATGCTTGTTAAAATTTGGCTTAAGCTCTGAGACCAAACAGTGTATGTCTTCCAAACTGGGTGGGTGGCTCATCCTAATTCTGGATATGCAGTTTATTCACATACACAACTAATCCCTTTTCGAATCCTGTTAAGTTCTTGTTCTCCTTAGTATCCTGTGGCAATAAGTTACAGAAACTAATTGTGCTTGTGTTGAGCTCTCTTGATCCACTTTCCTCATGCTTGCTTTCAGTTCTAAGTGTTGTTCAGAGAAGCTCAGTTTCAGGTTTTTTCTTGGTTGTATTCTTTTTGGTGAGACAATTTGTGTTGTCATTGCAACCAGGGGCTCAGGGCTGGAGGGTCTCATCTGGACTCCAATGGCTGGATGTGGTTCTGCCTTTACTGGCAGAGGGGCAATGGAAATCAGAAACACTTCTGGTGCATTTTCACTCCCTCTCTTGGTTTGCAATCAAGGCCCTTCTGCCCAGAAAGCTGGGAAGAGCTGAGGGTGGAGTCAGCAGCCCCCTATATCAAAGAATAAGTAATTGTGTGCTCAGTTCTAGCGATGCTCTACTTAATAACTAAACCATAATTAGCTTTGTAGTTTTGTTACTATACTTATAATAGCCCCCATTAAAGTTATGGGGTTTTTAGGCAGTTATGGCTTACAGGGTAATTAACGAGCAAGAGGCTTTATTGCTACCTTTATTTTCAGCCAGTGCTTTGCAAGGGTTCTCTGCCAAACAGCAGCTCCTGCTCAGGACCCTGTGGGGCTGCCTGGGGGCAGAGTAGGGCATCCCCTGGGCCCAGAAGTGGAGCTTGGTGCTCCTGGCTGCTCATGGAGGATGTTTGTTTGGGTGGCTTGGAGCTTTTGGTGTTGTTCCATGTAGGCAGCATTTCTATTCTGGTGAGTGATGTGTGTGCACACAAGCTCAGTGAAACCCATTCTTCAGTTGAACGTGCTCCAAATCGCTTCTGTTCAATAGGAGGAAGCCGAGGAGCAATGATGTGGGGCTGAGCAGCCCTACAGAAAGAGAGAAGGGGAAAGTGATGCAAAACCCAACTGCAGAGCAAGCCAACGTTCCCTATGGCAAGTGTCAGAGCTGGCGCCAATTAGCCAGGTTTAAAAAAAGAAACCATCCACGTTTAATAAGCCAACCCGTTACTAACGCATGGCTCTGGGATTTATTAAAGCTTTTTTATTAGATGAATGCCCTTCTGATATCACCATGCCTTGCCACCATTGCCCTCTGCCGGAGGACGAGGAGTCTCTCCCACCACATGTGCCTTTGTCAGATCCTTCTCCAGCAAGTACAGGTTTCCAACCTGTGCGAAACACCTTTGGTTTAGGAATGTTTTAACTCCAGGATTGCTTACAGTTGAGCTGGTGGTTTGTCTATTTTGCTTTGGTTTTCAATACTTTCTCTTTTCATGTAGCCAAATGGAGTGTGTTCTTTTTAATTAATTCACATTTAAATATGTTCCCCCTCCTTTTCCTGGAGGAGATAGCAGAAGCCTACAGCGAAAACTGGAGACAAGCCAGGTTTTGTTCTGAACCTTTCAATGGGAAAAAGAGAGTGGTATTAGGAGGGGGCAGGAGGGGAATGGATGCCTGGATGAGAAGCATTGTTTTCCCCACAAACAACAGCAAACATCCTGGGGCAGCCTTGGCAGTAAGGGGCTATCAGGCTGCAGGGTGAGCCCTCTGCTTTGAACTGCCAAGCTGTGACTTTCCTCAGCAGCAGCATGAAATCAGAGGCGACCATCTATTTCCTCACTGGTGTTGTTTGGAGGAGAAAATGGATTTCACCTCTTGCAGCCTTAAGGTGTGATGGAGGGAGGGAGCGTGGTGGTGTCACCGAGGCCCTGGCAGTGTTAGCTGCTGTGAGCTGCAGGCCCAGAGAGTTCTGACTGTGTCCTTCAGTCAGTTTTCTTGGGGTCATCAATAAAACATTGCTTTGTGAATTCATGCTGAGCACCTGGAGTGCTGTGCGTGCTGGGGGGGTGCAGAAATGTGGGTGGCAGCTGCAGGTGGGATGCATTCCCATGGCAGAGCACTGACCCTTGGAGCCTGAGCAGGGCTGGGAGCAAAGCTGTGCTGGCACTGGAGCACCAAGTGACAGATGTGTGACCAGGGAGCTGCTAAGTGCTCTGTGGCAAATTAAAAGGAACTGTTGCTGCAGAGACCGATGGACAAATGGTTGGAGCCTGCTGGCTTTCCTCTGTTGTATGCATAGAAATCAGAGCACTGCCCCAGCCTAACAGTGCCCGTTCTCCATCACACAAAGCCCAGAATTGGACTGTCCTGTGGGAAGATGTGGATAATTTGGGACTGGATTAGCAGGAGGCAGGGAAAGGTAAAAGTACTGGCTTTGGGGGAAGCTGCCCTTGGCAAATGGGCATTTGGTGCGTGCTGGCCTGTGCAGGCACCTCTTTGCAGGGTCACTGTCTGATACCTGCTGTGTTTTCAGAGAGGTGCTGCAAGGTGCTTTTCAGAGCCACCCTTCTGTGCCCTATCAGTTGCTCAGAGGGTGTTTCTGGCTTTAGCAGGGAAATCAGAGGATACCATTGCTCGGTGCCTTCTGTTCGGGCACTATCAGAACGGCAGGATGAGGCCAGATGCTCTTTCCTGAGGGCACCATGTGCCTTGGCAGTGTGAGGCAGGCGGGATCTCTCTTGCTTTAGTAGTTGGAAGGGGATGGAGCAGAAGGCTGATGTCTGCTGGAACAATTCCTCCTTCTCCCTGCTTTATTTTGTCTGGACAAGGCTGATTTCTCCAGTTCTGAAAAAATTAAGGACAAACCCACATTGCCAGGAGATGCTTCCTGGAAAGCCTGCAGGCTGCCCAGCTGCACAGCACTTATCTTGGGGCTCAGAAAGGCTCCTTGCCATTGATTCCCCAAACCAGGCTGTAGGAAGCCCCATTCCCAGTAGAAGGGACATGTTTGGTGGCTGGTTTGGGGTTTTGTTGTTGTTTCCTGGCACAGATTTTGGTGTGGGTATAGATCTGTCCCCAGAGAGAGCCCTCCTGGAACTGGCTGGGAATTTTTAGTTGTGTGTGTAGGTTTTGTATAGGTTAAAGTAAAGGAGTCCCCAAAACATTTGTTAAGGATTTGCATGTGCATTCGAAGGACAAAGGCCTATCTGTATTTTCCCTACCCCTTGTTTTCCCTGGCAAACGAACACCTCTGTGATTAAACTGCTTATCTGGAAGAGTCAGAATCCATCCAGGGACTTGAATACCATTTGCTTGTACTTCAAAGGGACAGCCCATCCATTCCTGGAGCCATTACACTTCAAGTCTTCCCTTGGGCTTGGTGCCAGAGACTCACTGTGCAGCCCGATGGTCAAGGCTCAGACAAGGGAGATTCAGATCAATCTGAGCAGGGCTAAATTGTAGATTTGAGCCCAGATCTCTCCATGACTGCCCAGTGCAACTGAGAAAAAGCAAGCTCCAAGGCTGTCAGGAAGAACATCCGCAAAGCAGCATCTGTATGCATCACATCCATAACCTGGGCTTGAGGAGCTCCCCTGTGATTTAAGGAGGGAATCTGATGGTTTCTAGGGCACTGCAGGGAAAGAGAAAAGCCAGAGAGCTTGTGGCTATGAGGGTGAGAGAGCTTTTGCCCAGCATGGAGACCTCCAGCCTTTGTCGGCAGTAATCTTTGGGCTCTCCTGAGTCTGCAATGCAGCCCTGGAAGCAGCAGGCTAATGTGTTCCCCCACCAGGGAACAGTGGTACTAAACTGCTATCCATGTTTGCAAACTGTCCGCCATGTGTATCCCTGCTAAGTGATGTACTTCTCTTGCCAAGATACTGGGATAAAATACAATCTGCTTAAATCTTGTATGTGCTTGTATTGAATCAAACTAAGCTATTGTGGCAGTTTAATATACTCCACTTGCAACACCTCCAAGATGGAAGAAACGAACCTGAACAGGCCATTGGAAGCCTGAGTTAAAATTGGCTGCATCAGAGGTGCCAGTGGGATGGTCAGAGCTGAGGGATTACAGAGACAGGCAGCATGTGGGGCTGCTGGCTTTGCTGCAGCCGTATCCCTATGAGCACAAGCACAGCCTTCCCTCCAGTTGTCCCATGGAGGGTTGGGGCTGCTGGTCAGAGCACTTCTTGCTGCGTCAGGCAAGTGGTGCAGCTGGTGTGGCTTCTGCTTCCTCCCAGGCCTGTGCTTAGTGAGCTGTGGGACAACTGGCTTGGAGGTGAAGGGCCCTTCTGGGCATGGATCAGAGCTGGTATTGAGCAAGTGCTGCTCGGCTGATGCAGTGGGCTTGCTCAGTGAGTAGATGGGAAAGAAAAAGGAGCCGTGAGCACCCAGGAGGCATCCATCTCTCCTGGAGGGGCTGGACGCGTTTCTGTCGCTCGCTGCCCTGGTTTAGTTTGCTTTTCTCAGGGAGGATTGGTGAGCTTTCTGGAGCAGTTCCCTGGTACTTTTCTCTGCCTGATATCTCTGCTTTGTGTTGCAGGTTTGCTGCCAGATGGGTGCCTGAGGTTCCTGCTGGAGGGCCCAACAGCATCCCATAGAAGCACTCTCCTGGTCCCAGCAGCTGAGGCCCCTCCAAACCTGCTTCTGCAATGGGTGGGTTGTAAGCACTGGTAAGACCTACGAGTCGTGTCGCCTTCGCTGCTCTCTCCCTCTCTCGCGTTCTCTTTCTCTGTCCCTGTTCCTTCCTGCCCATTTATTTCTGTTCTCCATTTGCTCTGCTGTTCTGTCTCTGGGGTTTTCACTGTTAGGTAATGAGGAGCTGTGGGTCCAGTCAGTCTTGGAGATGCCGAAGAGACGAGACATCCTGGCTATCGTGCTGATAGTTCTGCCCTGGACGCTACTAATCACCGTCTGGCACCAGAGCACCATTGCTCCACTGCTTGCAGTGCACAAGGGTGAGAGAAATCAAACCGGCCCATGCCAAGTCTGCATCACTCCCTCGTCCTCATCTCTCTCATTTCATTTCTCCATGGCAGCCATTCCCATCTCAGCTCCTGGTCCATGCTCATGCAGAAGCTTCCCCACTTCTGCTGCAGGAACGGCCCTGTGCTTTCCAGGGGTCTTTGGAGACATCAACCTCCAAGCCACAGGGTATGCTCCTTACTCTTGGAGAGCTCTTCCCCACCTATATCCAGATTCAGTGGAACAGAGCACAGAAGGAAAGTACTTTTGTTTTATTTCCCAATGGTCTCTCTTTTTTTTTTTTTTTTTTTTAAGGAAGGAGTCTTTCTTCTTGGCTGTTCCTTTCTCTGGGCATCCTTCTGGGGAAGAAGGCCAGCTCATTTTCTGTCTCTAGGACCTTGCTCTGGGAGATTTTCTACCCTTTTCATTTTAACGTTCACTCCCATCCTCAGCAGTTTCTTATTCTTTTGCTGAGCAGTCTTTTGCTGAGCCATTGGAATTGTCAGAAGCTCAGAGTCCATCCTGAAAAGTTTTACCTTTTCCTGGAGGACTTGGACCCCCACAAGGCTCAGGACAGCACTTAAGAGAAAGGAGACTGATCTCTCCAAAAGGTGAACAGTATTTCACAGGATGTGAGATCTCTATTGGGCTCCAAAATGGGATTTAGAAAAATATCCTGTCTGTATGGTGATTTGAATTGGTGCCCCTAAAAACTAGGACCAGTTTGTTGGTGAATGGTTGTGGACATTGAAGTCACAGCACAGAGACAGCCATGCTGTGACCTGGTCCTGAACTTGCTGGTGCCCTTGGTAAGATGCTTCCTCTGAGAGTGCTTCTATGAGCGCTCAGTGGAAAATGAGTGGTGAAAGAGACCGACCTGAAGCTCTTGGGAGAAATTGTTATGTGCTTGTAATGCATTTCTGAGATCCTTTGGTAGCAGGTGCTGAAAATGAGATGTGCATCTATATGCTAGTGGGGACACAGTGACAGTGGATAAATGTGCCAGGATTTACAGCGGAGGGTTTGATGTGGGAGGGTTTGCAAACTATCTCTTCTTCAGGCTCCATGCTGGCTAATTACTTTATGCCATGTCCAGTGCATTTTGCAGTTTTGTTTTTGAATTGGTTCTGGTGCTCTGTGCTGTCAGAGAGCTGTGTTATGTGATGCAGATGTGCTTCACCCTCTACAGGGCATGATCCCCACTTGTGCAGGACACTTTGGTCCACAAACACGCACCCTCCCTCCTTCAAAGCTGTCGAGTACAAATCCCTCATTCATTTCAGGGCTGTATCAAAGGCTGTGCTGCTATATGTGTAATGTGCTGTGAAAAACACACAGGTAGTGACCCTGCTGGGTCAGATCTGATGGCAGTCTATTCCTGTTCTTATCTGAAGTCCCCAGCAGCAGCTGGCTTTGCAGAATCTGGGGCTCTAAGAATCAGGCGCCCACTAGAAAGCAGCTGGCGTACCTCAGAGTGGTGGTGCCCCTTTATCTCTCTCAGTTCCTAACTGTGGATGCTGGTGTTCCTGCTGCTCTGCAGTAGTGTGAACGTGTGAAAGTTGCAGGCTGGAAAAGTGACAAATGCATGATTTATTTATTTATTTATTTATTTATTTATTTTTACCTTGAGCTGACTGTGGCCAAGTCTTGCTTTGCAAGGCTTTTAGTAGTTTGGGTTGGTTTATGCTCTAGAGACTCTGTTTGCTGTACAGAGCTGCTTTATTGTTCAGATCCACTATACTGAATGGGCTGTCATGTTCAGAAACTGGTAGGGCTTTGTTGAGAAGTCAGTCAGAGGCAGGTAAAGCCTCGGCAGGAAAAAGCCTACAATGAGGGGCTGTATTTCTGCTCTGTGTTTCTAGATTTGAAGAGTGCCTTGCTCTTGCTTCCCTGTGCCACATCCCAGGCCTGTCAGGAAGCAGCAGGGTATGCAGTGTCCTGGCCAGCAATGCTGCTGGGAGCTTCAGGTGATACAGGGACTCCGTGTGTTCCACAGCTCCAGCCCAGTTTGATTCCCCACTTCCCAGTCCCAGCGCAATGAGTTCTGCCCTGCTGAGCGTGGTGCCAAGAGCGCTGGAGCTCTTTGGGAACAACAGATCGTCAGTCCCTGTTGCTAATTTCATTATCTAGATCTAATTGCTCTACAAGTCTGTCTCCTCTGGGCACTCAGCTGCACCGCTGTCCTGGGCTCTCAGGCTCTGATGGATGCAGCTTTTCTAGCAGCAGGAACTTTGTTTCTCACGGGTGTTTGTCCCTGATTCCTTTATTAATTTGTGTACTTATTTATTCAAGCCTCCTTTTGAGCTTGTTTCCTTTCCTCTCAGGCTGTGAGGGTGACCTCCTGCTATCAGCACTCAGCCTACTGGCTCATCTGGGGGGACGGGGGGTGTCGGAGGACCGAGTCCATGCGGTTTTTCTTCTCTCGTACCCTTGCTCAGATGATGGTGGTGACTCCCGGCGTGATCTCGCTGCAGGCTTGGACTCCAAGGAATACTGCTTGTCGGACCGGGACATTGTGGAGGTGGTGAGGACAGAATATGTTTATACTCGCCCACCCCCGTGGTCAGACACCCTTCCCACTATCCACGTCATTACACCCACCTACAGCCGGCCCGTGCAGAAAGCAGAGCTGACGCGCCTGGCCAACACCCTGCTGCATGTGCCAAACCTGCACTGGATCCTGGTGGAGGACTCCCAGCGGCGCACACCCCTCATCACCCGGCTGCTACGGGACACGGGGCTCAACTACACCCACCTCAACGTGGAGACCCCTCGCAACTACAAGCTGCGGGGAGACATGAGGGACCCCCGCATCCCCCGGGGGACCATGCAGAGGAACCTTGCCCTGAGGTGGCTGAGAGAGACCTTTAACAAAAACAACAGCCAGCCTGGGATTGTTTACTTTGCTGATGATGACAACACCTACAGCCTGGAGCTCTTTGAGGAGGTAAGACCCTGCTGGAGGAGCCCCAACCAGCTGATCTCAGTATGTGGGCTGCGAAAGCTGCTGTATACATCCTCTCCCGTGCTCTGGATCAGTCCTATGTGCAGTGGTCCCACTGCAGCTGTCCTGAATGTTTCTGGGCAGGGGATCTTTAAGGTCCCATCCAACCGAAGCCAATGTATGTTTCTGTGATTCGTCTGGGGCTTGGTGACATGACTACAGTGTTTGTGCTGGTGTCAAAAGCAATGCAAATTAATGGGGATCCCAGCATAGCTTATGGCACGTGGTCAGGAGGCACGCATCCATGCTCCAGTCACCAGAGTCATTGGCAGCATTGAAAGAGATCTTGTTGGCCTTGCTCACACACTCCCAGCTTCTTCAGTTGGGGCTTTTAGCTGTGCTGCTTTCCTGAGAGAGCAGGAATAAAGCTTTTCTCTTGGTACCATAAACCCAAGCTAAACACTTCCATGAGGAGGAGGAGTGGTCATCACAAAGCAGGAGCTAGCTGGTGGGATCTGAGCAAGAAGAACATGTAGGTAGTTTTAATTTATTATCAAAAGAGCTGATGAAGAGGTGCTTATGCTGTGGAGAGCCCTGTTAAGGTTGGAACATCATCTGCTGTCCTTTGTGCTTGGGCAGGCACATGTGCCCAGCAAGGGAACCCCCAAATCCCACCCTGGGGGAGGTTCCAGACTGATCTGCTGTCATCTGTTGCCTTCTCTGCCATCCCTACATACTGCACTTGGCTGTCTGTTCATCCCTGTTTCTTCTTGTTTGAGGAGTCCCTGGGGTATCTGCTCCTTGCTTGCTGTTTGCGTTTGTTTGCTCTCATCCCAGCATGTTCAGTGGTTAAACTCTGTAGCTGTCAAGAACCCAACGCCTGCTCTGCACAGCAGAGAACTCTGCCGTTGCAGAGTGGTGCCAGCACAGCACTCGCAGGATGTCTGGTTCAGAGATGTTCTGTGCACTTGTCACTGGATTGCCATGCTTACGAGGAACATTTGACATTGCCTGCTTCATATCCTGGAAACATGGAGCCCTTTATGCTGCCTGGAGAGGGCTTTGGAGGGAGATGTGTACCTCACCTCTCAGGAAAGAGCTGTTCCCATGCTCTCTGAGGCTGAGATCCTGCAACGTGGGACAAAAAAAGTAGGATTCCCTCCTTCTCCAGTGGCTGCCAGTTCCTATACCAGGGATCTCCTGTTTATTCACTCCATACATGCCCCTTTCTCTTCCCTGATGGCTCTCACTTCAGCTTGGATAGCCACAGAATATACGCACTTTTAAAGCTGAAAGCAAACTCAAGCTGAATGTCTTTCTTCCACTTTCCTCCTTTGAGGCTGGTGCTGGCAGCATCTTCAGAGAGACGCTGCATTAATAAAGCAGAAAGGGTTCCTTCATTCACCCGTGTGCTTTGCTGAGAGAGCCTTCTCCTCTCTGATACAGAGCTGCAGTTAAGGTTACATGGAGCCAACAGAACGTGCTGTGAAATGCAGAAGACACGCATTATTGTTCCCTGTGGACAGGCACTGCTGTTAGCGTGTGTATAATGCAGAAGGGCAAGTGCCAGAGCTCTTCTGGTCTCGTTTGCAGTAATTAGCAGTGATGAGATTAGCTCTGGGAGATCCCTGATCTAAGAGCCTGGGCTGAGAGCAGAGCGTGAGGCTGAGGCTGCCAGAGAGCAGGACCAGCCATTGGGAGTGCAGGCAGACAGGTGTTCTGATCATCTGCACTGGCAGGCACACACACTGAAGTGTCCCCTGACAGCTCCTATCTATTTCTAGTGACCCCTTTGGGAGCAGAGGCATTTAATGTCCTTCTGGGTAGCAGGGCCAGCTGCAATGCCCTGTCCTGTGTGCTCCTCCCAACCCTGCTCTTGTGAGCTCCCCCTAACCACACTTTTAGCTTTCCTGTGTCTCATAGCTTGAGACTGCAGCTTTCAGAGAAAACACCTTTCTTCCAAGATATGTTGCTCCCGGATTCCTTGGACAACATGCTTTTCCCCTGGCTGTCCTGACTTGCCCTACCATCCATGCAGAGAACTGATGTCCCACAGCTCTGAAGGCCTTTTGACCCAAAAAAAAATCACTTAAACCTCAGTTGCTTGCAGCTTTGTTCCTAGCAGCTCAGCTCACGCTTGGTCCCATGGCTGTGAGCCCCTTCCCAAAACACCACGTTTCTGCAGCCCCAAGATGCACATCCTTTTACAGGTGAGCGATGCACAAAGCTCCGTTGCTCCAAGTCACAGCGGTGCCTGGGAGCATCACCCAGGCTCCCAGCCCCACGTGTCTCCTGCAGGACACTGGGAAGGTGAAGGTGTTTTGCTGGAGGTGTGTTTCCCCTCCTTCAGCACCCCCCCACCGTGCCCTTCTCTCTCCTTTGCCTCCAGATGCGCAGCACCAGAAAGGTGTCGGTGTGGCCAGTAGCCTTCGTCGGTGGCTTGCGCTACGAATCCCCCAAAGTGAACGCAGCAGGGAAGGTCTACGGCTGGAAAACTGTGTTTGACCCCCATCGGCCCTTTGCTATAGACATGGCAGGGTTTGCTGTGAACCTCAGACTGATCCTCCAGCGATCTCAGGCGTACTTCAAACTGCGAGGAGTGAAGGGAGGCTACCAGGAGAGCAGCCTGCTGCGGGAGCTGGTCACCCTGAACGACCTTGAGCCGAAAGCTGCCAATTGCACTAAGGTATGGTCTCTTCCTCATACATGGGATGTGAGGACCTGGTGAGAGGGCATGCCGATGGTTCTTGCCCTAAAGACTCTCCAGTCCAATATGAGAGGCAGCAGATGGATATCTGTGTGAGATGACGGGAGTGTGCGAGATGCAATGAGACAATGCTGGTTAGCGTGACAGGCATCAATCAGAGCACATCAGCAACAGAGGAGCTGTCAAGTGCTCTGAAAGCTTTGTGAGCGGGTGGCAGGCACTGGAGGGACTTTATCTGGGATCAGAGACTCCTGTGTAGTGCTCACGTCTCTGTCTCTGAGGCAGCCACCCAACCTCCATTGTGCAATTATCCCAGGAGGACTTTTCTTTTTTTACAAATGAGCTGTTACTGCAGACAGAGACAGTGTTGGGCCATCTATTCCAGGTCCTCATCCACTTCAGAGCTGAAAGCTTTTCCTGCAAAAAGCTCTGGCCTTGCCCTGCAATTAGGTCTTTCTGCCTCTTTCCCCCCCTTACTGCCCTGCTAGCAAATGCTGGCTGGAAATTAGTGTGCTTTCAGCAGATTGAGGGAGATGCCCAGTTTGCTTTTAGGCTGCACAGAAGAGTTGGGGCCTTGAGAGGAAAGGGAGGAAGGAAAAGGCTGGAGGTAAGAAATGGTGCTGTCAGACAGGCTGCCGTGCCAGTGTTGCATGCAGAGCTGCAGGTCAGAGCTGGAGGGGAAGCAGCAATTGCTGCCCAGGATTTGAGGCAGACTGTATTTCTTTTTCTGGCACGGCTGTAGGGATCTTACAAGGGTCCTTGTTGAGGACTGAATGCTGTCTGTTCCTGGCAAACTCAGAGTGCAGCTTTGCAGTTTGGGCTTTGCCTTTCTGCTGTTAGCCATTGCCAGCAGCCTCCATTTTCAAATTGCTGTTTTGTTCACCCTTCTGATGAGGAGGAGAGTCTGAACAAGCAGCAGAGGAGGACAAGAGGTGGCTGTGCTCTGGGGTCCCCAGCATGAGAGTACAGACTCTCAATGGGCCAGTGTGCTCCTAGCAAGTGTCTGCTCACAGCTGTAAAGCTCTGCAGTCAGATTCACATTACAGATTATGATGTGCTCAGGTACCATCGTTAAGAAGGGATCAGAGAACTGTGTAACAGACATCTGCTCTCCAGAAGGGCTGCCCTTGCTGCATAGTGCCGTAATGTTCAGCTGCCTTCAGCCCACAGATGCTCAGTCCTGCAAAAACCTTACGCTTTGATTGAAGATATACATTCTGTTTGTCTTCTTAATTTGATATCCACCAAAAATGAAGAAGAAAATGAAAGAAGTCAAAGTGAATTGCCCAGGCTGGTTAGCAGTAGGGTTGTGAGGGAGTGTGGCTTTACAAGCGTGCTGTATATTTCTGTGTCCTGCTGCTTCTATGTTTCCCCCACAGCACACACAGCTCTCTTCAATCCGTTGACACATTACATCTGACAGGATCAAGGTCTAAAAGATCTCGTGTTCCCATAAGGTTGATGTAACTGGGACATATTCTGCTCCCTGTTTCCTATGAGTGCCTGAGGAAATGAGCTGCAGCGCTCAACCAGAGCCCTTAAAGGACAGAGACCTTGTCAGCGGCCTCAGCTATTCAAACAGCATGAGAGCACAGACCACAAAATACAAGGGCACTGCAAATGATGTGCTGCTTGTTCCAACTGCCCATGCAGCTCCTTGTTTCCCCAGATGGATGCAGTCGTATAGTTCTCTGGGTGAGGCAAGCTTTTGTGCTCTCAGGGGATTTTGGTAGCTAAAAGCAGTCATTCCTCCACTCTCCTTCCCTCCTGGCTGAGTGTGATGTGGGATTAAAGCTGTGGGCTCATAGCCTGGCATTTAGGTGAATGTTGCTGAAGGGAACTGGCTGGCAGCCATGTGCTGGGCAGGGATTGCTGGGCGGCAGCGTGTGTGTGGGCAGTGTGAAATGCCACCATGGGAATGGCACTGCTGTCACACACACAGGCTGAGAACAGGCAGCAGACAGTGCAGAGTGTCCCTGCAGTGCCTGCACCCCGAACCAATCCTTTAGGTCTGGGAACTAGCTCTGAAAGAGGGATAAATCCTTTTGCATCAGAGGAGAGCAAGCCTGGCCCTGCAGCAGCCAAGGAATTACGCAGCAAAAGGGACCAGGGCTGGCTGCTTCATGACATCACAGCTGTAAAACAGCTAAAGATGACTGCTAATGGACAGGAGGGAGAGAAAAACTCAGCCTAAGGCAAGAAAGCTTGTAAAGGAGTGCTTTGCTTCCTCCTGATCTTACCCTGTGGTGCTGCAGAGTAGGCAGGGAGTTGGCTTTGTGAGCTCTTTGTGTTCCTTCCCTTCCAGGGGCTGAGCAGCGGGATATGGATAGAGCAGATCTGCCCTTCTTTTGCTTAGATTTCTCCTGAAATTGGGCTGCTGGGTTGGTGTGGTTTGCAGTGAGCAGTCAGTACCCTGGCTGCTGTGTGACAGCGCTTTGTTGGTAAAGCTTCACACACAGTGCCTGAGCTGGTGATTTTTAGGGGACGTGCAGAACCTGGAGGGCTCCTTTTGCCTCGTTGAGCCCTGATGAGTCTCCAGAACTGCTGTGCCAATTCCATCCCCCTGTAGCAAAGCTGAAAGCTGTCTGAGCCATCTGAGCAGTTTGGGTTTTGCAGCACCCTGCCTGCTCCAGGACCTTCGGACCGTGTGGTGGCTGTGGTAACTCAGATTGGACCACCAGAACCCTTTCCTGTGTTCTTGAGCTCTGCTTGTAACACCTATCACCTTCAAGGTGGTAGAACTGCATAGCTGGCAATTACTGTTTCAAGTAGCAGCTATTGCTGCCTTCTATGGAGGGCTTTTGGTACTGGAAATCCCGTGACCCCCTCCTACTACAGGCTGACTTGCCTGCTTAATTTCCTGTTGGAAGACAATGAAAAAGCTTGCAATGGCATTGAAGCCTTATAGTCTTAGACCTGTTCCAAGCCTCATGATTCTGGATGACAAGGCTGTCAATGACTGATGTGTGTTGCAGTAGTGAGGATTTGTAAAGGGAATGCAGGTGACCTGCAGGAACCACTGCCCAGGGGAGATCAGGCACTCAGACCTCCCCTTTTCTCCCATGCAAACTGCACGTTTGCACAAACCAAAGCTGCTCTGAGACATCAAACCAGTGCTGCTTGTGGAAAGCATCAAGCTGAGAGCAAAAGCAGGTGTTGCTGTGTAAAATGGTGCTCTCCCTCCCATATTAAAGAGCGCTGTGTGAGAAACGGTAGAAGCTGCTGCATTGAACTGCAAACTCTGAGAATCAGTCAGTTGTGGTCAGTTAATTCCACATAACTGCCTTTTTGGCACTCGGATTTAACAATGTCAAAGCGGGATGCAATTGAAAAGAAAAGCTATTAATCTGTATTTGTGCCTTGGTGCCTGGAGCTGTGGGAGCCTGAGCCCTGTTGCTGGCGGTGTTTGTATGGGAGCAGCTTTTCCCTGCTCCTGCTGGAAAGCAGAACTGCCCACCAGCTTGCTTTCCAGCACCTGCACTGCATTAAGGCTTGGCTATTCTATTTGTTGGACGAGGAGCTCGTAGCTGATGCTGACGTTGCCTGGAGAGCTGCTTGGCGAGACCTGTTTGCTTTTGCTTTTCATTAGGAAGTAAATCAGTAATTGCAGCAGTGTAATAGCAGTGGCTTCTTGGGAAGGTGGGGGGCTCCTGTTTAACTAGAAGGGCTTGAGGAGTGCTTTGTTCACCCTTTAGAAGCAGAGCGCGGCCTCGTTTTTCAGAAAAGCAGGGAGTGGGTACAAGGCTGTTTGCAGATATTTGGATTGAATGCACTGAGCATTGTCATGGCAACAAGAGGGAGACCCCTGTGAGGAGGAACCATCACTGAGCAGGTGAGAGGGAGCAGGAAGCCACATCTCTGAAGGGACAAAACTGCTTCCAGCAGTACAGCTTGTAGTGCTGAGCACTGAGCAGAATTGAGTCTGGTGAGGGGAGAGCGTTTCCAGAGCTTGGAGCATGGCATGGCTGAGAGGAACTATTGAGCTATAATACCTCCCCCACCACAGATGTCAGGCAACCTCTTCCGTTTGTTTTTTTTTTGTTTGTTTGTTTTCCAGTTCTTTTTTGCAGGTGTTGATTTACATTGAGCTTTACTGCTCAGATTTTAGTAGAACTTGCATCCCTGTGTGCTTCAGTGCTGGTTTCAGTAGGTTGGAGAGGGGCCCTAAAAGTGATGCAATGCATTGTACCTGGTCTGGAATAGCAGGAACAGCACTGGGGCTGGCGTTTTGGAGGAGATGTGCATGGGGAGCCCTGAGCATGTGGGAGCAATGGGGTATTCTGTACCAAGCTGATGGCTTTGGTACCTCTGAGAGCAGAGGTGGCAACAGACAACTAGAACAGCAGTAAGGACTTCTCCCATCAGTGGCACTTCATCACCTCTTCAAGGTCATGAAAGAATTTAAAAAGAAGTAGTGTAATGAGGTTAGCAAGCAGTCACAATGTGAGCCAATGTGGCAAGAGATGGCTTTTCCATTCTGCACCCAGCAAACTGCTCCATGCTGCCCAAGGGTGGGCTAACACTATAAGCAAGAGCCAGAGTCAGGATCCTGACTGTGGGAGACGTGCATCTGATCCTCTGGCGATGAGGGAACGGCCTTACATCATTGGCAGGACTGATGAGCCTTTGGAGGAAGATTGTTGATAACCACGTGGAAGGAGCAGGTTAATGTCCCAAGACAGTACACTATAAGATAGGTAATTTCTGTGCACTGTGCATTCTGGGTAGCAGCAGGCCAACCTAAATGAAGTTTTATGCAAAGCTCCTTGCAGCTGTGAATGCACCATTAGGCCCCAGGGTAGATGGTTAAATTGCACTATTGATTTAATGTGCAAGAATGTTTGTTAGTGCAGTGAAGGGATGCAGCTAATGACTTCTGGTTTCTTCAGATTTTAGTCTGGCATACGAGGACAGAAAAGCCTGTGCTGGTGAATGAGGGGAAGAAAGGATTCACAGATCCCAATGTGGAAATCTGAGCGTGCACAGCTGAGTGGAGACCAACACCAGGTGAGAGCTCATGTTCTGGAACTGCAAGGAGAAGGAGGAAAATACCAAACAGTGACAGAACACAAACCACACACAGTCAGTGACAATAAGGGAAGGTGTAGGTTAAACCCCAAATGGGGCATTATGTATCTATTTACCTAAGGTCAGCATATAGTGTCTCTGGATACCACTGCTGGAGGAGAAAGGAGAGGAGGAAAAAGCAAACATGCATGCTGGTGGCTGACTTCTCCTTTGTTTGTTCGTGCCCTGGCTTCTCACCTTTAATTACCTGAGCATTCCGGTGCATTTAAATCGTCTGTATCTCCAGAGTGCACCCTGCAGTTGGTTTGCTAAAGTGAAGGATGAAATATTTCCTCATACCTGTGCACAGACTGCTGCTCTTCATTATTATGGGGGGAAAAAAATACATATGCACAACTCCCTTCAACCAGGGTGCAGAACCAGGCCTGGAGGGGAGAGAAGATTGCTGCTTGTTCTCTTTTCCTCTCAGACACAGAGAAGTCAGAGCAGCAAGGGGTATGGGAGAGGGGCGGATCTGCTCAGCAGCAGTGTATTTTTAACATAATGAGTTCTTACAGCACAGTCCCTCTGGCTGCAGTGATGGAGCCCTGCCTGCTGCAGGGCCTGCGCTGTGGCCCATTGGCAGGACAGCAAAGGAAAGCCTGCACTGCACGCTGCCTGTGCTATATATAGCAGCTTTGCAGAGAGGCCATAGCTCTTCAGTGCTGTCACAACTGCTTTCTACCAACACCCAGTTGCCTAGCAGCAGTAGTCACAGCTCTGCAATCTGAGATGGGTTTTGGGTTAGCTCCAAGGGGTGGCAGCTCACTGCAGCGAGGCAGAGGGGTAATAAACATGCTGGTTGTGTCTCTGTTGCAGAAGATTTCCTCATGCACAGCCTCCAAGGTTTCTCCCCACAGCATACAGCCAGACATGCAGTAGCCAGGATCTCTGCTGACTTCCAAGAGTTTTAGTGTACTGAAAGCAAGCAACACTGCATACATAAACTACCCGGATCCCCCCGCCCTTCCTCCTGGACTCTGAGCAGAACCTGATGCTCTGGGGGTGGAGAAAAAGCACAGAAATACAGGACTGAACTTCCCTACAGGAGCAGCTGCCCTGCGAGACACTCGGTTTGGGAGAAGTGCACAACGCACTGAAGATGCAGCCCAGCTGGAAGGGCAGCCCAGACTGAGCAGGCTGTTATACAGGACCTGAGAGCAAGGGTGAGAATGCACACACGAGTATGCTGGCCCCGATGACTTGTCCTCCCCAGACACGCACCCCGTGGCTGTGTGTCCAACAGCCAGAGCAGCTCCCTGCTGACAGAGGGGGCAGCTGCCTTCCAAGATGGCACCTCAGCCCTTAATTCTAAACCTACTTTAATCAGTGTTTATGATGCTGCACAAGACAGGAAGGCTTTGGGGGAGAGTGAAAAGCAAGGCAGGTTAGAACGAACCCACTTGTACATCTGATTCTTGTATCCCCTTCTTCCCCTTCCATTTGGCTCCATGGTTTGGGGAGTGCTCTATGCTCTTGCATGGAGTTACATGCACAGCATGCAGCCCTTGATGCTAGAAGAGCTGTGAGGGGTTTTTAAAGAGATTATTGTGGCCCTGCACCATAGAACTAAGATCTGAGCCCAGATGAAGTATTATTTAGCTCTCATTTGGTTAACGTGAGCATTAGGTATGGGATTCTCTGAAGGGTGCTTCTACATAAAGCCAAATTTCTACTCTTAAAAAATGAAGTTAACTACTTAAAAATAGGGATTGAACAAGAAAAACTTAGTACATTTACCATCTGTGTGGAGTGTATCCTTCAGCCCTAGCTCCTCTTTCAGGGCCAGACTGGTGAGCAAAGCCACACTGGAGCCAATCAGGAGTTAACTCGTGGGAACAGAGCAGCACCCTTGTAAAGGGTAGGTTGAAAAACTAAGCAGAATTATTAGTTGCCTCTTCCCTGCTCTGTGACTTCAAAGGCACTGATGAAAGGGTATTCTCTAATGAAACTGTATCCTGCTCCTCAGCAAGAGGCAGGTGGCTGAGCAGTGCAGAGGAGGAACCTGGGTGCTGCTACCTCGGCTGACTCTGTTTGGAAACAAACTTGCTGAGGAAGAAATTCAGGTACAGCTCAGCTCTTCTCCCTACCTCCAGCCCAAATCCACAGAACTCAGCACCCTCCCCTCACAGCTGTCAAACATCTGATCAATCCCCACTGCCCCAATTCTTTCAGAAGGGTCTGAAGCACAATTTTCCCTTTGAGTCAAGGGAAAGTGTAATCCCAGATTTGGTTCTTTTTAGCCCTAACGCATAGAATTGTTTAAGTACTACAGGTGGGATTGTTAGCTTCAAAGTGCAGAATTCTCCCCTTGGTCTGATGGCTGTGCATTCCCTAATATTTAAAGAAACATTTGGGTGTTTTTTTTAAGTTATTTTCTCCCACTGTCTTTCAGAATTGATGGGGGAAAGCTGCATTGCTCAGCTCTCAGTCACAAAGCCTTGCTAAATAGCCTTTAGAATAATGTTCTTTTAGATGCACTGGCTGAAGTGCTACATGGATAGAAAGCATCCAGTTCCACTGGCCACTCTATGGGAACAGGCACTGTTACCTTATGCTAAAATAGGAGCTCTCTGCATTTGAGTAGGCTGATTCTATTCTTGTATGAGCAGCCCAACCTCAGTTCAGTCTGCACACCCTAGAGGGCCAAGAGACATTGTTAAAGGCATACAAATTCTACTGCTATGCTAGTTCCCAACTGCTGGCCTCTCCTAGCTGCATGTTTTCATTCACTAACATCAGCTCCAGCCCCTGCTGAGCTGCAGCCTTCCCTCCTCAGAAGAAAATAACTTCCAGAAAAACACAAAGGCCCAAGTCCTGACCACAGCCCTGCTTTTACACTTCTCAAAGTTGGGCCCTTCCAACTTGCACAGCTGCACTGTGGGTCTGGGGAGCAGAGATGTGCACGCTCAGTGAGACCAGCTCTGGTCAGGGTGGAGTGTATTACAGCCGCACTGTCTGTTCTCAGTTTTAAATAAACTGTATTTAAATTTGTTAAATAAAATTAAGTATGGTTTTTAAGAGCTAGAATGCCCTGCAACTCCATTCTGAGAGGCAGTGCACATGGTTGTGCTTCTCAGAGCCCAGATCTCCCATTTGCAGGTATTTATGCGACTCCTTGGCTTCTATCACAACCAAAACCAGATTGCTGCTCCTTTATAAGGGGGAATTTCATCTCCAGGTGGAGGGAGCTCTCTTCTCCATGATTGGAAGCTCTCACTTGGTCCTGACCTGAAACAGAATGGTATTTTTGACAGAGGAAAAAAAACCGCATGTGAATTTTTAGAACTTCTTTTTTTTTTTCCTCCTTTCTGAGAGAAAGACAACCTCCATATTAAAACGCAGTGGAACAAAGCTCACAGTTAACTCATTTGACAACCAACGTGGCTTCCAACAAGTGAACCAGTTGCAGCCCCTCTGCAGACCGCATTGATAAATTCCACCTGGAAGTACAACATCATGGGTTTCCACACCTGGTTACTCATATATTCACCAACTATTTTCTCCCTAATTATAAAAATGAAGAGGTCAGTCATAACATGTTTTTATAGTCAGTGGAGAGCTGGATTCGGAGTTTAGTTCACTCTCTCTCTCCTGCCTCCAGCACCATGTTACTCCCTCAGATCCTTCTGTCCATAACATCATGCACAGCCATCCAAGCCCCAGCTCCTCAGCGGTGCACACAGATGAGCTTCACCTTCCATCAATGAAACCACGGATTCCAGTTCCTTTGAGGCCCGTTCTCTCTTCTGAGCTTACTGCCAAAGAGCAAATCCTTGACCTGGGTCTAGTGGAAATTAAGAGGCCCAAGTGCATGGGCCATCATGTCCCCAGACATGCAACCAGGAGTGTTCAAGATGAACCAAAGGTGGGGAAGATGCTCTCGTCAGTCCACATACTGGGTCCTTCCCAAGTAAGGTATGTCGACAGACTGTATGATCCGTCCTGCAGTGCGTTCCTCAAAAATGATGATCTGCAGAAGAGAGGCACATGGAAAGCTCTTCATACAAAGGCTAAGTTACTTAACGACTTCTAAGGGTAAAGGGCATACAATCACTGCAGAGAAAGGAAGGATCATTTAAAGAGATCAATCAATATGACTTGGAACAGTCACTCTGATTCTTCAGCACCGCACAATGCAGAAAATGAACGAGCATCAAATCGGCTTCATCTCGATTTTGAACTTGATGCTGCACTGTGAAGTTTAGCTGAGATCTTTGTCATGTCTTAATGACTGTCAGAGCCACATTCTTAGCTTTAGAGCAGCACCTCCCCTCATTTCCACAGATCTGAGGAGCTACGTCTCCTTCCTTCACTACTGCCCTCGTTTTCAGCTGTAGCTAACTAATTAATGTACTGTATTTGTCTAGATCTTTGGTGCATGACCCTGAGCAGGATCTTTAACAATACACACACACAAGACATCAGAGCCTCTCACCTCATTGCTCCCTTTCCACAACCAGGGGCCAGGAAGGTACAGTGTTTCCTGAGGTCCAATTTTCCAGTAGCGGCCAAGGTTGTGACCATTGACAAACACAACTCCTTTTTCCCAGCCCTAGAATCAGGACAGCACACAGAATTAGTGAAGCAGCTGTATCTAACATCCTTACAGGAAATGCACTTGCACTCTTTCCGGTCACTTTCTGCAGGTTTTCTGCTTGCCTTCCTGTGCCATGTCTATAAAGAAGGAGGTAGGGATAAAACTTGCCCCTCCTTTATGTTTTGTGCCCATCACTCTTCAGCAAGTAGAAAACAAACAGCCCTTGCCTATCAGTGATCAAGACTAACCATTCATTAGCAGCTCTGCTCCGTCAGCACTGCATGTTTTCTCATTAAAGCCACTGCAGACAGAACAGCATTGCCTGCCAGCTTTAGAAGATTTTTTTTGCACCATCAAAATAATTTGTTTTCTCAAAGCACAGAGGAAGACTACAAGGCAGTGGCCTTGACTGGCTCAGAGCTGTGACACAAGGCTCTCTTCAACCAGCTTTTGCAAACCCTCATGAATCAAAAACGGTGGGGAAGGACAAGGACTTGCCTGTAGCTTCAAGAAAGTATCCTGTGGTTGATGCTCTATCCACAGCTTCCCACGAAAAAAAGCTGGACCAACAAAGTAATCTGGGACTGCGCTCCATCCAGCAGTGTGCCGCAAGCTGAAAGAGAACGGCCAAGCACAGCTAACAGCTGGGCAGCACCCAGTTCCAACACAGCCTCAGCATCATTTCAGAGCCCTGCTTACAGCAGTGGATGGGATCTGTTACACACAGCAAGGCTGCAGTTTCCTTCCATGCCTGATGGAAGGAGTTACTTCCTGCTGGTAGTGCTGAAGGCAATATCTTTCGCACTGCAAAATGGTGATGCTGTTAGCAAGCACCTAGCTGAAAGGAACAGGTGGAACATGTCTTGGTCTTCATTCTCCTATGCTTGCCATGCCACTGAAATGCCAGTCCTTGGTGCAAGAAAAGGAAATATGGAGTTTCACCATCTCTGCTGCCCTCTGGAAGCAGAGGACAAACAGAACAACCAACACAGAGCACCAAAGTCCCACAGAACCCTTACAACTGCATCTCTTGGATATAGGGAATCTATTGATCCAGTGCAGCATGACCACTACTGAACGATTCAAGTGAAAGCCTATGACAACTCCTTTCACAATGCCACATCTTCCTATGCACTCACTGCAAGCTGTGCTCTGCTGCTACTGGGCAATTGCCAGTGAGTGGCTGTGGTGTGGCCAAAGCTGCCCTGCAGTCACGGGTTTTGCACATCACCCCTCAGAAAGACCCCCTTCACACAGCACCTGTTAAGACTGTCCTTAAAAATTTCAAAATGTTGATTTTTTTTCCTCTTTTAAAAGCCTGCTTGGTTTCACATCACCTCTCCCTCCTTCCTACGCACGTTGCGGGAGCTGTGCTATCTTGGGGAACGCACATGTGTTATTTTCTGACATTAACAAAACTCAAAATAGTCTGTTTGGAACATTGGCCAGAGCCCACGGGGTATCTGTTGTCTTAAACCATGTGGAGAAAACAGCACTGTGGTCTGAAATGTTTTGGATAAAGGTATCAGCATGGAACTTAGCAAGGCACAGATTCACTCACCTACTTTTACATGGCGTTGCCTTTCTGTTACACGTGTAACTGCTGCCTCCCAGATTCTGCACTGCTGCTAAGCAGTTGGTTTCAAATGAGCAAGAACAATTGTTAAATCCCACAAACCTTTTCAAGAAGTCAGGTTTCATCTCCAGGCTGTAAATCTTGAAGTTCCTCAGGGGGGTTTTATTCAAGAATATGTCACCAATTAAGCCTGTAAGAGCAATGGGGGTAATGAAGAGTTGAAAAGCAGCTAAAACTGATAGATTCTCCTCTCTGAATGCAAGGAACAGCAGGAGATGGAAAGCAGCCACGCTCTGCAATGGAATTAGAGTCCATATGGTCCCATTGCTCATCCAGACTGAGTGGAGAACATTACTATACTTTGGCCTCTCCACTCCCTCCTTCGCTTTAACTCACTAGGCCATTAAAACACCCTCCAAGCAGAAAACACTGCTGGCATGCACAGCAGATGGGGTTTTGTTGTTATTGTTGGTTTTTCGTCAGCTGCCCACGTAGAGATTTGTTAAAGCACTAGATCAGTTACCTCTCTAATAGGAACAGCAAAATTTAGCACAGGGAAGCACTCACACCCAGGGCTGATGCACTGTTTTTCATCCAAAGATCTTAAAATACTTTAAGAAATAATTTCCCTCCAGCACTTCCTTGTTAGATACTCTGCACGTAGCAAACAGAGCCTAGGCCCTAATCGAGCCCCCTAATTGCAGGGCTGCAGTTGAGCCTGCCCAAGAAGTAGAGGCTTTATACACATACTCTGCAGTATAACAAAATTAGTACAGTCACATGCCTCGCTCCATTATTCTTTCTTGTATGCTTTTTGCATACATTTCCCCACTAAAATAGAATCCCGGGGTTTCAACCTCTTCCAGCTCCACAATTGTATGTAATGGACTTGAAAGTTTCAGCAAATGCTGCTCAACAGGGTGTAACTCGTTCCTCCTGAATATGCTGTGCGTTGTGTGAGTTTTAAAATGCTGTGATTCTCCAATATCAAACCCCAGGGGAGGACAGAGTTTAAAAGAGGTCTTTTCCTTCCTGCCCTGTGAAGTAACACGCTCAGAGAGCAAGAGAGTGGGTACCCTTCCATCACCTGGCAAAATCGAACAGAGCAGGATTCAGTGATGGCCTTGGGTTCAACTGCTGCCCTATAAAATGAGATGCCTTAATGCAATTTGTCAAGCAGCCGCTACTCTTCACCTACAATCACTGCAGACAGGGAGGGATGAACAGCAGTTCTCACAGGTTCCCTCTGTCACACCATTTCCCCCCGTCTCCCTCACGCCTTGGCTACAACTAACACAGCTGCATCAGTCTGCAGTTTGTAAATTACACAAGAAAGACAGTTTCACAGTACTTAAACCCAGAGAAGCATCTCGGACAGTGAGAGGCTCCATGAACAACAAACTCAACTCGCCTTTCCGCTGCTCATTCAGCGCCAGGCCGTAATTGACACGACCACGGTTCTCAACCAAGAGTCTTAACTGCCTGAATCCCTGTGAAGAAAGAAGAAACGAAGAAGAAATGGGAGAGCATCAACAAGAGCAGTGCACAGCACTAATGCCTGGAAAACAACTGTCAGCAGCAGTGCTGAAGAGGGGAAGTAGCACCAGGACTTCTGGCAGTCGCAATTCATTGCTTACTGATGGTCTCAACCTGCTCATAAAGGTTTTTCCTTTTCTTCCCCTGTTGAATTTTTAAATACCAGTTTGATGGAGAAATGGAGTTTGACATAGAGCAGGCTTTTGGCATGTAGCTTTGCCATGAGCTTCAAGAGCAGCACTGAGTATTCATGCCTGCTCACCTTACCCAAGGGGCTGTGCACAGCAAGAAGAACTTGGCAGTGAAATCATGCCGTGTTCCACTAGTGAAATGGTATCTCATTAGGGCACACCAACCATCCTCTGCATCAGAGCA